GTCAGTTGTTAATCTCTCTAATACTCTAAGATAAATAAATAGGTATTGATATAATATAAATAAATCAAAACTATTATATTCGTTGTTTGGCTTGTAACCTTTTCTCGTTTGGATTGTAAAATATCAAAGAACATTTTATGAGTATCAAATCATCCTATTCTGCAAATTGACATTTTCATTTAACATAAGCCAATATTGTTTCTGATGTCAATTTCAATTCTCAAACCAATTATAAGTCGAATATTTGTGTGAATATTGAATGGTTGTGTTGTAGCCATTGAAACATTCCATCAAAATGCGATGATCACCCAAAGGGGCATGTTTGCAGCAGATGAATGGTGTAATTTAATTAACTGTCGTATTGGTCTGAAAAGCAGCTAAAATAGAACAGTATGAACTCTGATAATAATTATTACTTTCAAAATTTAATTTAATTTGGTGTTATATGGGCGTGTCAATAAAAATTAAGAAGGGTTTTCCAATAAGTTTTAAGTCTTACGAGTAATATCGTAATTGTAATCGGAAAACTTCTGTTTAAAGTAGCGACAGCAAGAAATATACATTTTGCAGGTAATACAAAACCTCTTGTATTTTATGAATAGCTAGCTGTTCCTGCGACTTCGTAGGTACGCGTGAAAATAGTTTGAATAATATTTCCCGTTTTTGTAACATATTTCTTTACTGATCCGCCCTTATTGGCTGTAGGTTATATAGCCTAAAGTAGAGATGAAACGGATAGTTGTTTCGCCGGATACCGGATACCGGATACCGGATATCCGGCCAGCTGCTAGGCCGGATAGCCGGATATCCGGCGGCCGGATAGTTGACCTATTGTCTCGTTGCATGTCGTGACGAGTTTAGCGCCGCACAGGTGGTCTATTAGTAGACTAGACTAGTCACACTTTTCGAAAATCGAATCCGTCCGAATAGAATGTCAGATTTTGCCACTTGTCTAGGGGGCAGATCAATTCAAGTGATTTCGGTTGCTATAGTGAGTTTGTGATTGAATAGCGAAAATTAAATTACTGACCTTCCTATAAATGAGCTATCCAACACAAAAATATTTATTCAAATCGGACCAGTAGTTCCTTAGATTAGCGCGTAAACAAACAAACTCTTCAGCTTTATAATATTAGTATAGATATTATGTAATTTATCAAATATTTGTCTGCCAAACTTCACGACGTTTATCAAATATTAATTAACATAATGTATGCCTACGAGCTAATCTTGTATGTCTTCCGTTCTGCATACCAATGATCGGATTGACTTCAAAGCCACCAGCTCAACGTGTCCTTTTAGGCTGAGTTGCACCACCTAACTTTGACGGTAACCGGTGTATTTTGTATGGAGTTTGACAGTTTTTTGACGTTTGTCAAAGTTAAAGTGAGATGGTGCAACCCAGCTTAAATGTGAGACGTGGCTGTTTTCCTTAAGCTATACCATGCACATGACTTAACTCGGTCAAGTGCGTATGCGTGCAGCGTGTTTGCAGACCCTCGTACATGCTGATAAGAACATTATGCATACGACTGTACTGTGCCACTTCATTTCAATAAAACGGGGCCGACTGTACAGACCTAGGTACACGCCCGGCCGCATTACTGCGGTTGAGCGCCCTCTTTCTTTGCTGGACTCTGCTTTCTATTATATTTTTATTGGATCAGGATCCATAAGGATTACAGGCCTTTACAGGTCTTTGTACAGTGGCCGCTGTAATGTGAATCTTGTCAGCTTGTCTTAAGGTTGAAAGACAGTAAATTATTACTTTCTGCATCGCAATTTAAAAGGATTATCAGGCAGGGAGCAATCTTTTTGATAAATTAACTAGCTTTTGCGCGGATTTCTCACTGATAGCGATAGATTTAAGCTCTTTGCGGGGTCAAAAACTCTTACAAAATACCTACCGTAAGCATAAATATTATTTCATATCCTTATCTCAAACAATATATCTAAGTAGGTCTTAGATTACAAAATGTCACCACTTTCTCACCCACAAACATTGCTATGAGATCTCACAGTGCTCGTAGACGCATAGGGTCATACCCGAACCAATCACAGAGCTCTATTCAACGCTGTGCGTTCGATTTGCTGCTTCAATTAAGCAAGCATCGTTTATGAATACGGGCGTCTTTATCTTTCTTAAGCGAATTTTGCAATAAGTAGCCTTATCTTTTGCTCAGGCACTAAGTAGGTACTATTAATATTTGTCCAGTCCTTAACAATACGGCACAAAATATCTATATTTACAGTAATTACCCACTAACTGTTCAAGAACATGTGTGTTGTGTGACACATTAGTGGGTAACGGTAGTAAGTGCATGCACCGTAACTGATGCACGATTTGTGTCAAGGAAATAACTTTATTGTTCAAATCGATAATAGCTATACTATGAAACATGTGTGACAAATATCTATAAGTAGATGTAGGTAGGTCTAAAACTGTGTGACTATTAATGACATTAATGACAAATACTATAATCAGAATAGGTACCTACTACTTGTATAAACAATGCGACGACTAAAGATGCGTTGATTGATATTTCGTTGTGGTGTATTTAAATGTTTTAATTTCCAGATAAATTAAGTAATAGGCACCCATTAATCATGACTTTTTACGAATGGATTTGATGATGCATTCACCGTTTTATAGATTAGCAATGACCAACATTCTTAATTAGGAAATATGTCACAATTTATTAATAGATAACATACAAATCGTTCTTACAATCTTTCTAGCTAGAGGACTGAGGAGTCTCTGAATGCAATGGTTCAATGAAACTTAGGACATTACTGATTTTGATTAAGTAGTAAGTACCTATACAGTTTCAGGAAAAGAACACAATGATATCTATTATCATTTAGTAAATTTCAGTTTTATTTTCAGCCAAAAAGCACATTACTAGTGACAAAGTCAGACTAATGGAGCAATAAAGCATTTGAATTTGAATTTATTCTTAAAATAAATTCAAATTCTCTTCTTTTTTGTATCGTTGATTGCCAGCTGTGGTCAAAAGAAGCCTTTATAAGCAGCCATAAATAGGCATCTAACAACGAACAATAGTATTTTAAGAGCGTTAAAATGTAGTCAGTCAGCGTCAAATAGTTCATTACACCCAAAGTAGCCAAAGAGTCCGTACAAATCTTTGTTACAATTGAAAAAAGGTTGTGTTGTCAATTTTTTGGCCACTTGAGTGGCACTTGCTTTTTAACGCTGACTGTACTGTTTCTGTACTGTGTACAGTCTAGCTAAAAACACAGGCGCCAATTAAGCTCTATTAAACTCTATCTATTAGATAATGACGTCCTTACGTGACGAAGAAAAACGTCACATTCGGGTTTTTAGGTTCGTGACTCAACTAGGAAGTAATGTTTAATAATAACAATATGCACAATGCAATATCTAGATTAAACATAACCTAGATTTATCAGGGCCACTTTGTATTAATGGAACACACATTTTTCCTAAACCCAGGGTAGGGACAAAAGCTCGAATGGCCGCAATAGGCTAGTTTCCTAAAATATAACTTTTAGTCCGTCAATTACACTATCAAAAATATTGGACACACATTTTTATATTTGTCAATCAAACAAGTAATTTTATTACGAATTTATGATACCTTCCGCGTGAAGTCACAAAGTGCTACACTTTTAAGCACGCCTTGACGTCACGGGTTTATTCTTGTAAACCTTGACGTGCTTTATCTCTTTCAGTTTTAATTAGTTTAAAAGAGTGAAAAAAGTATTTTTGATTAAGTTAACCGACGGACTAATTCAAAAGCTTGCTTTTTTACTCAGGAAACATCCCTATTTCAGTGGAGTAACTAAAATCCATACTTATGGAAGCTTACTATGTACCCATTTACTTCTATTCAATCAGCAATTTTGCACTCCATTGGAAATCAAAATGAGGAAAATCTCATATAAATAAATAGACGTAATTTCTGGTTATCCTCCAAACCTTTGATTATACTGACATACGCCAACGGTTATATAACATTAATTAAAGACCATTATTAATAGTTTTTATGACGTTATGTACTTTAATTAATAACTGACATAACAACTAAAGCATAGTAGGTATTATACAGTAGAACTAAACTAAAATTTAAAAATCTGTATTTTCTTCTTAAATGCTCGTTAAGTATACATGTTATATAAATCAAGGTTTCTATAAAATATTGGTGTTTTTATGATGTGTACGTCTGTAGTTACAGTTTTATGGTTAGTTTAAGTAAAGGTGGTTCCAAAAATTATTTCAGAAAAAAAAAACATTTACCTTTTCTCTGAGGATTATACATTAATATACATAGCTCCTGAAAAAAGCATTAAAACGATAAAGGAAATGAGGATAAGCCCTTGTAACTTACTTAGGATTAGGAGACAACAAAAATGATTTCCTGAACTTTAACAAAATAAAAATGGATTAACTTGTTAAAAAGTCTCTTTCGTAGACGATATAAGGATGTTTCTGAACTAGTGAATATATTTTCCGTAATTGTCACCTCATGTGACACGGGTCTAAACGTGAGGCGAATTTTTTGTCACATCCTCATTTTTTGCAGTCGGGTAAACAATAGAATCGTTCCTTATTGGAATTTTTTAGGGTTCTACCAAAAGTGACGTAAGTTTCAGCTTCATTCAGTTATTGGTTCAACTTATTATGTTGATTTCCTCATTTCACTTTATCGAAACTACGAGTAAGTTAATAATCAACAGAATTTTTTTAATGTAGCCGGAACCTTCCGACATTAAAATGCAGTAAATTATGCATTTTTAGCACAAATAAGTATTCGATTACAAATGTGTATCAGTAGACATAACAAATATCACATTCTAGAATTAATTTCAATATTGACTATGACTTCATTCTCGAATAATTTATCATTTGTATATTATTTCATTAGTCAATAGTCGCAACTCGCATCGTTCATCGAAAAAGCGTTATGTGGATAACAATCTGTACCTACGCATGATTTTCGTTTACTCGTATATATTGATGAGGTGCGGCGACGCTTGCGCATTCATTGTCACGGTCGTGAGGCGCAGACGCGGCAGTCTACTTCCAAGCGTTGACACGGACGGTCGTCGCGAACCGGCATTTGTGGTACAAAACTAGTGAAACAGTGTCAATAGTGCGACCTTTATAAATCAAAGTTTAAATTTAGAACGTTCCACTGCTGCTCAAAAATAATACAAGGTGCGTACCGGCCGCTACTATAGATCCGTGTTGTTAAGTTTATATAATCTTGTTCAATCATAAAAATACAAACAAATCACTTTCCACTGGACCAACTTTCTACAGGATGCGTTGCCAAGCAAAAATGATCTGCACCATAAAAATAATGAGGCTCAGTGTTGTGTGTAAAAGTGGTGTGATAAAAATATTCCAATACTTCTAAAGTATGCGTAAAAGTGATCAATGATACTATTTATTGGTGTTATGGGTGTAACAAATGCGTACAAAATTCAATTTGTAATTTTAAATCACTTAGCTGCGTTGGTATTTATTATTTTTAATTTGATGCCACAATCTATCGACCTTAATGTCCTTGATCATTATTTTGCTAATGACGATATAACATAAATGCCAGTTTTTTTTACGTTAAAGCGATTACTTAATGAATAAAAAAAGGGCAACAGGTTTTTTATTTAACATCAGTTCAATTAAATGCTAGTTACCGTCAACTGAAAATAACAATTTGAAAAGAATAATGATAGAAATCTTAGTTGCGGTTTTTTTTTAATTTTAGTCATGCAACAGCTTGATAATAACCACTCAAACAAGTGAAATGTCAGCCAAACCCGTTTCACAAGTCTTGTATTCAAATTCTTATCAATATCTTACCAATACCGAACAAACACCAACCAATTAGATACCTAATACATAATTATTATATTTTCCTGAGGTCAAGTAACATGATATTTATTATTCTTTTGTTATTTTCCAGATGAAGTCACTAGCAGTGTTCCTGTGCCTCGCGTTATGCATAATCGCCATCCACGCCCGGCATTACAACGATCGAATCGAAAACGAAAAACGCGACGACGAACTAACGGACAATGTTGAATCCACCAAAGATTACCGAGGGCAGACGCGCCACAGGAGAAAGCGCTGGCAAATGAACTATGGGTACGACTACCCACCACCGCCTAATCCCTATTACCCCGACCGAAGGGACTACGACCGCAATCAGGAACTTATACCCCAAATCTGGAGGTTGTTGGACGAGATATCGACTTACGTGCGGCGACCTGCGTACCCGCCCGCGCCTATTTATGTCCCATATCCGGTACCTTACCCGGTTCCCCAAAACTGTACATGTAACGTCCAAATGGCACCTACTCCGAACGTCACAAAGCGGTTCCCAGATATGGACGATATTAACCAGAATTGGGGCATAGCTGAAACCAATGAAGAAGAGGATGTGGCAGATGAGGATGGCAATGATGGCACGAGACCGATCTCCTTTGACCCTATCAAACCGAAGACACCCATGTTGAGGCCTCAGCCTGAAGTGGAACATGGCAGCAATCAAGCTGTAAGTATTAAAACTCAATTAAACTCTTGATCATAGTTATTACATGTTGTAAATATCTCAGGAAATTATGATTATTTTGAGTCTTTAGAACTTACGATGAATTTTGTCATGGCTAGTCTGTTACTTGCAAAAAGTTTTGAAGTCTGATATCTGTGAATAACATAACTGTGATGCACCTTTTTCTTTTCTAATTACTATTTTCTTTCTTACAGAACGTCAAACAAGAACGAGTACCTATGGGTAACGGAGGTACGAGTAAGACTACAAACGCTTGCAATGCTGCCATCCTGTTGTGCTGCAGCGAAAAACAGCAAAAGGCTTGCTTCACGAGACAAGGGTGCAGCATGACCTTCGCTCGAGGAAACGCCTGCACTCCACAGTCCATCGCAGCCGCCATAGACTCCTACAGAAACGCTTACACGTCTCTATGAGCCCAAGGCTCTAGCGATGAAGGTTGAAGCCTGATCAGTATTCTTATCTTAGTTCGTTGAGATTTAACCAAAATTCAAACTTTGTATTTATGAATGAAAGTAACACTCTTTAGTGATGACGAGGGTGACCTCTTTTGAAGTAAAAAAACTAGCTCGTCTTTTTCTAACGGTTACATAATACGCCAGAGAATGACGAGTGAAGATTTTGCGCGGATTTTTAAATCTCAAACGGCGCAGTAGCGGATTCTCTTGTTTTTTTCTGGTCGACTCCTCAGGGCGAGTGATGCGTAACATCCCGCCGAGTACGGTCGTTTACCTCGTCTGAATCCAGCTGGGCTTTAAGAGACCTTATTGAGCCATTTTTTACCTTTTAAGTGCACGAACTTACAGTTCATTATTGTTTTCGCCAAAACAATGCAATTGTATGACTTTCGTGATTCTCTATTTACTCAGCGACGTATAGTTTAATTGAAAACAGAGCCATTTGCCTTAAAGTAATACTTGTAGTATTTTTATGTACTTAGTTTTAACTTTCTCGTCTTGATGCCATATCATGATTGTTCCTTGTTGTATACCTTGATGTTTTTTGTTGAACCGTTTCGCACTACGCCAAATTTTGATGATAATACACGGAATCCTTGAGTGGTGTGTGGAAAGACATTGACCTCGAAATGCCTGGTTTTTGTGTGACCATAATAGGCGATGATACGTCATAGTGCGATCAGGGTCGGCAGACAAATGTACGCATTTAAACTACGTGTGTAGGAGACAAACTTTGAGCCACATCAAAATAGTAGTATGTACCTCCTATATTATATTTCATTTGTTCTAGGGTCTGTTTTTGGACCACCGTTTCTCGATTTGAAAAATAACCCTGTAACAAGTGAACTATAATCTAAAATTAGATATTAAGTGTTCCTAGTCTGTATTTGTATTAATGTATGTATGTCTAATATAAGTAACAATAAATTGACGTGAATGAAATAAATAATGTTTTATTATTGGTGAAATTCGATTAAATATTAAACAAATTGAATTGAATTACATTAGAAATTGCCTTTTTCATGAGAAAATTTATGTTTTTAATCTGTAATCATTAAATAATTACACGCCTGACGAAATAATATTCTCTGAAAGGAATGCGGCTTCAAAGGTTAATTATTGTAATTGAAATTAAGTACATTCGAAAAATTATAATTGTTAATACAAAATACTCGCATACTTCTCTTGAGGAAATAATAGCAAATAGGTAGCAATTGGCACTCGTTTTATGCTTTATGAACATCTGAAAGAATTAAGGTTCATTTTCCTTTAAAACTTGGCATGAACTTCGATGGTACAAAACACACGTGTGTTAATAAATTGGGTTCATCCTATCCTAACACAGAAACAACAAAATGGGATCCCGTATCGGAAATTGAAATCTATTGCTGTTAATGAATTTTTGTCTGGGCGAAGATCCCATGTGCACGGGACATTTTATGGCATTTTTACAGGAGAATTAAAATGTCCGTAGGACATACAACTGCTTTTGCTTTGAAATAAAAAAAAAAAAATTTTTTGTAATAAAAAAAAAACAACAAACAGTTTACTACAGGCAATGGATAATAATCATCCCAATATAAAACTGTTCTAAGTCAAACAGTATGCATGCCATTAGGTAGGTACTTAAAAGACAATGTCCTAAATGTAAAAATAAGTAAAAGTGTGAGTCATGTTTTTCCTATAGAAAGTTGCCCGCATTTTGAAGAATATCCCAATTACTCATTATCTACCTATTTAATTACTTATTATCTTTTGTTACCTATTTATATCCTTAAATGTAATAAGGATGTTAAATTGTAAAATGTATCCGATCTCTAAATATGGACATCCAAATATATTACTTAGCAAATCTCCCCCAAATCGCATATTTATACCGCCAGCATCATTCCGAAAAACAATAAAGCTGCGAAGGTTGGCAAAAGGGACGAAATTTATTTTCTCTTGCTTTCCTCCGGTAAAAGTGGGGTTCAGCAACAGGCAGCCTCTGTCCTTTTCCTGCATATCGGAATCTTGGTAAGTCAGAAAGAGATGACGCAACCGGTTGTATGGGAAGCGAGTGCATTACACCGTTATTGGTTTTAATTCGTTGGCCACTGGTTGACATTGCAGAATATGCTAAGGCATGGAAGATTCCGTTAATTAAACCTTCATGTAGCTACAGGCTTTTACGGGAATATTTTAAATTAATGACTAGTTTTATTCCGTAATAAAAAACCCAAATTAAAGATTAAATCTTATGATAGACTCATCAACAGGAGTTAACATTTCACATCGGGTTTAAAAATTGTTCAGTGGCATTAAGTCCGCCACTGTACAATTGTATGTGCAAAAGTGTAAATAAAATAATAAAAAACATGTCCTTAACATTTGCTCTCGACATGAAAGCATTCTTCCTTTTTATGACACTACGATCTCAGCATTTGAAAATATAGGTACTTTGAGTTTAATGCTGAAAGTCAAGTCATTGACAAAAATGATGTTTACTATGTTTACATAGTTATGCACGCAATGTTGATATGATAAGTCAACACTTGAAATTCATTCGACAGCTGCATTCGACAGTACCACATACCTACCAACCGCGACGGATGGCGATAGTATCGTAATACAAATAAATACAGCAGGGCCATTTGTACAGTATCAAGCATCTTATGAAGTCGTGTTGTTAAAGTGATTTTGCAACAAAAATCTGAAGTCTGAAGCCGTCGACTGTACAAAAAGTAAAGTTATCATCAATAAAAGCAGTTTGCATAAAAGCTAGCTAGCCAAATCATTATTTATAGAGCACAGCCGAAGCGTGAAATTGCAATACTATGTTATCGCCTGCATTCTAAGACTCACACTACACGCCAGAAGAACCTTTAGTCTGCTTATAATATTAGATCGACTCTTAGTACAGACGAATGCATCTCAAGTAGTTTAACGGGACTTTATTCCATCACACTTTCACACCATTGCAGCTTCTGTATAGCGTCGTTGACGAGTGAAAACCTCGGGAGTACCGAAAGCAAAATTTTTCAGGAGAGACAAAAAACACCAGACACCGAGTACTCACGAGGTTTTCATTGAACACGATAGATGGTACTACAATCATCTCATTTGAATATAGGTGAGCTCGAAATGTGTGTAAAGGTTTCTCGCCTATTACATTAAAAAGTTTTTTGGTAAAATTCGACTTACGAGGTTTTCACTCATAAACGACATCTAAGATCTACAACTTGGCCTCCAATTAATCCCATTCAGTGAAGGTAGAGTAGTTCCAGGGGATACCCTCTGTCTTAGAATCCACAAAGAATGTAATCAGAAGAATATAGGAGGAGTTCTAAATATAATATAGACTTCCCTCCGTTGTAAAGTATACAAGTACTTAGGGACTTATTTTAGAGGCTTATTTGCAACAAAATGCACAAGTATATTCTGATGTGTCGTCGACAGTACATGGAAAAAGAACAAGAAAATAAAACTCATCCAGTTTATAAAGGCTCATAAAATGGGTTCAACAATCGAGGGTCCAGGTAGGAAAACCCCAGCCTTTAGCTAACACTTTGCGATACAACCAGTTATCCTAGTTTAATTACCTTTACCAATGACGTAGGTAGGTTAGTAAGGAGACCTTCAGACAACATTACTTGGATGCGAAAAAGTAGGGGAATGAAAAGAAATAACCTTTAAATAATTCCGTTTAGAAGGAAGCCCTATAATGAGTTGAATATAAATTAGTTTAACATTGATTCTTCTTCTCCACCAGATATTCGTAATGCAGCCCGAATGCGGTCTCATCATATCATAAGTGGGTCTTCTGTACCTTTCTACGTTGTGCCAATGTGGAAAAACCCACCATACGATACGGGTAGATTGTACGGAAGATAAATGAGTCAGTCCAGTCTAGTGTCAAAGTACGTAATTCTGTAACGCCTTCATGATAAGTGACTCAATGTTTATTTTGATAACAAACGGGGTATTGAGTACGCTTCCGTAGTTTAGTTAATTGAAGGATTTGTATAGATAAGGGCCTTTAGGTTGGTAGTGTTAATCAATATTCAAGGCTAAGTTATGAAGTTCGACCAATCCCAGTTTTAGGCTGGGTTGTACCATCTCACTTTAACTTTGACAAACGTCAAAAATCTGTCAAATTCCTTACAAAAAGCACCGGTTATCGTCATAGTTACCGTAGGTGGTGCAACTCAGCCTTAATCCACACTTAATCTATGCTTGGTGTTTTGCTTCAGTTATGTTTCTAAATACGGGCCTTAGAGATAATACATTCATGTTTTTAAAGCATTTTCATTTACATAGTTTTATCAGTTTTATTTTAAAAATTTAGTACAGCGTTTGGCAAGTCATCCTCAATTGTCATGCTATGATACTGTTATAGTTGTGAAACAGGTCAAATATTTGTAGGTATTTCATTCTAATGATAGGTACAAGACAAAAATGTGATTAGGTACAAAATTTTAAAGGAAATTATACATCCTGAGTCAGGACATACCTTTTTTTGTAGGAAATGAATTGAAAGAAAATCTATTCTAGTCATGTTATCTGGGCTGTCGATCTAGTTATCAATGGAGTAGGAAATGAGTTTATTCATATCCGCCGTGAGATAGCTTGCACGGCGTATCAGATAGCTAGCAGCGCCATCTGTGCATACAGTGTTGCTTCATAGATAAATTCAAATTGATCTCCCAGAATTTTTCTTTTCAATTTTCATGAAAATATCGAAGGTCCTGGCTTCAAATTTCACTTTAAAAAAGTTTTTGAATAGTTTATAGAGCTTTATGAATAAGTTTAGTTATAACGTCTAGTATGTTTTGGAAAAAAAGATTTGAAATGAAGTTTCTGTGTAGGATTTTAACCATCAATTTACTATGCTATCAGCTATAATACTTTTAATATTATTTAAAAGATTTTTCAATGTTGGCCCTTTTGCATTTCAGCAGCAAGTTGTACTGACATGTGAAACAATATTGTACAAAGTAGGACATTGGAAAAACCCGTAATTATGGTGACCTTACATGTCATAATATTGTTAGTTAGTTGTAAACTAACACTGTTAATGGTTTTGGCTTGTTTGCGAGCATAGAGATAGCAACTTTTAGTTAAATTACTACATTGTCAAAATGTATTGTGTATAAGCAGAAGTAATAAAACATTAGTGTAGGTACATAAGCTAGAGAAGCCTTTTTTAAAACTGGCTTCTTTTCACGACTTTGTCCGAGTATTTCACCAATTCGACATTCCACCAGCTCGCACTAAGCGTTTCGACGATTCGTTTATAATGCGAACAGCTAGGGACTGGAATTCGCTGCCTGCTGCTGTATTTCCTGAACACTATAACCCGGGCGTTTTCAAGGCGAGAGTGAATAGGCACTTACAGGGCAGATATGTACCATCCTAGACTGCATCTCACTTAACACCAGGTGCGATTGCGGTCAAATACCTGCCTTGGCTAGCATAAAAAAAAAAATCATTAGGTATGCCCTCGTAAAACACTAAACTTTATTTATTAACAAACTCAAAAACATGCATCTTAATCTATGAAAAGGTACAGAGTTTTGCAGGTTTGATTCCTGGCTAAAGAAAACGATAAAGTGTTTATCTGTACGAATATATTATTAGCACAAAGTTTTAATTAATGTGTCTGACACATAATTAACTACCTAATTATTATGCATAAATAGTTAATTCATTCTACACAAAAAAAAAAAAAAAATTCTACACAAATAGCTATCAATTGTACGTTACTTTTGTGACGTATTACGTAATACATATGATATCAGTTTTAAAGTACAAAACAACATGTTATTCGAACTTTGGCTCGATGACTAAGGAACATCCCGCTGTCTTAGCTCTCTCAGTATGACTTATTTAGACTTTGTAACTTTGTAATGATGTTATAGATGCAAATGCAGTCACTCATATTATGACTTATTTTAAAGAACAAAGTGCCTTATATCACAGAATAAGTAATAGTACAGGTACAGAAGGATTACTCCGCAAGACGATTTAAATAAATGCGAGTCTTGCTACGACGCGATACAGTGGAATTCAGCTCGCACAGCACTACGTACCTACAATTTTATTNTCATTTCCCAAATGAACTTTTAGCAACTGTACTTTTCGCAACTAATTCATTTGGTCAAATTATCATTTGGCCAAATTTTACTAGGCAAATGTTTATATAGCAAATGTTTTATGTTGCCAAATATTATATCCCAAATAATTTGTTTGGTCAAATTGACACTTCACATACTTACCCACCGTTACCCACAAATCAAAGTATAAGGCACATGATCATGGTTTTCACAAGAATTTTATGTAAAACATTGCAGAAAATAGTATGGTTGCAAAAAGTAGGTATTACAGAAAATAGTAGGTTAGGTTAGGTTAGAACAGTGACCCTTTATGTTAGTGAAATAAGGAAATTAATGTAGAACAAATTTTATATTAACTACCCACTAAACAAAATAATAACCACAAGCTAATTTGTATTCCATTCTATGCACCAATCAAATTATTTTGTATATAGTTTATCGTGAAATATTTTTGCCTAATGAAACATTTGGCAAACCATACTTTGCCAAACAATAATTTGCTAAACAATAATATGCCAAAAATAACATTTGCGAATTAAAAGTTTGCAAGAAGTTGATTTGCCAAATGAGAATTTGCCAAATGAAAATTTTCGAAACGTTGTTTGCGATGTAATAATTTGGGAAACGTTTTTTGGCCAAACATTAGTAATCCCATATGTACACGTAGGTCTGTTTAGGATTAATATTATACGAGTATGAGGGATTTCGTTTTGTATGCTGACGGAAGGGGGAGACTGACGAGGCACAAAAGATCCCAATGGGTCGGAGTACACCGTATAACTCTTATTATACTCAGGCTTCGTCCTCGGGATTAGCAAATAACACTTGTAGTATCGCCCATTAGATCGCCACTCACACACTGTATTTGAGGGTAGATTCTCACACAAAAAATAAAAATACCTGACATTATTCCGGTGGTCGCCTCGCCTGTTTGAGTCAGTCGTCGTTTAGTTCTCGCCACGATCACGCGCGCGCCTCGTCTTATTCTATACTTTTTTAGTTATTCTACGATAGAAGTACGTAGGTTTACGTTGTATTACAATGCCTAAACGTAAAAGTGAGGATAGCCTCGAAAAATTGTGGAAGAAGTTCAAAAAGTTGGAGAAAAAGTTACGACGGCATCGGAGTCGTAGCAGATCTACAAGTCGGTCATCGGACAGCTGTTATCATAAGGACATACAAGGTTAGTAAACAGCGCGTTTATATTCACAATAGTGCCTTTTAAAATGGCTAGTTTTTCGTAAGAAATCTTTTCTTATTATCTTTATAAAACAACGGTAGTTATTCTATAGTTATTAGCCAGTGAAAAGTGTCAACATTATTTTCATAGTTTCTAAAGGGTTTGCGTTCTTCTCTTTGGAGTTGTTACTACCCGTGTTGCCTTGCGAACGGTACTCTCGAACCGTTTTTTTTGGCTTATTTTTATAGAAACATGACTGTTAGCGGAAGTTAAGATAAATTTATTATTTAACAAGCCTAAAATCACCTACCGGGGTTTGCGTACTTCTCTTTGGAGATGTACTACCCCATATAATTTAAATTGATTACTATGTAATTATTATGCATTACTGCTATGGTGATTTCATTTAATGGGTTTGCGTACTTTTCTGTGGATCTGTACTACCCGATTAATTAGTTTTGCGAACAGTACTTTGGGCTGTTTCTTAACTAATACTTATTTTGAAATCGGTTGATTTCAGACGTCGATCATGCTTGCAACGAAAATAATGGAGAGCACATATCATCGAATGATTGTGAAATATTGGACGAATGCGACATACTCGAGCCAGAGACGGGTTTTAGGCGTTTGAATTCAAAGTATGGCACACAGTGCGCTACTGAGCCATCCAACGAGTCCACCTCGCTCCCTTCGATGGCTGTACCGGAAACCATACCGCAGCGGGTCTCTGTCGTTGTAGCGGGCACGGCGGAACCGTCCACTAGTGCACAGTGTGTAGGCACTGCGCCTATCTTCGAGGAATCCGAACCTGTTGAAGTAGCACTAGATGGTGCTATTCTCGAGGTTTTAGGAGAGGACCCGACTATATCGGCTGCTTATGGTCCTGAAATCCATAAAGACTTGGCTCTCAGGCTTCAACATGTCGCCTCAAACGGTTTAAGCAAAGAGCTCCGTAAAGAATTGCAGGAGAAATATTTACTACCCAGTAACTGCAAGTTGATCAGCGCCCCTGCTTTAAATGCAGAAATTAAAGCAGCCATCTCAGATATGACCGCCAAACGTGACAAAAGCATTGAGCTTCGGCAAAAACAGACAGCGACTGCTATTTCATGTTTAGGCCAGGCGCTTAATATTCTTATTTCTAAGAATAATACAGATTCATCGCTTATTAAGCTGCTGATGGATACAGAACGCATTTTATGCGACTCGCAGTACAATGACTCTGTTGTAAGGAGAAATTTTATTTTGTCATCTTTAAAAAAAGAGATGAAGGATCAACTCCAAAATACAAAACCGGATGAGTTACTTTTTGGTCAGAATTTATCTGAAACTATAAAGACGGCTAAGGCTATCAATAAATCGGGAGCCGAGTTAAAAACATCGCTGCCTAAGCAACAATTCCACAACAATAACAAGAAACCAACCGCGGTTGCCAGCACGTCAAAAAGTTTAAACTGGAAGGGCCCCTACCCTGCTCGGAAGCCTCCGAATCATCCGAAGGCGAAGGAGGCCCCTCAGAGCAAGAGAGGGCCGTCGAACTCATCGCGACACTCGCAGCCGCAGCCGACGCGAGGCCGCCGCTAGACACGGTAAAATATACTGGTAGTTTACCCTTGTTTTATGACCAGTGGTCACTCCTTACTACTAATTCGGAAGTTCTTTCTTGTATCAAAGGATATGAGATTCCATTTAATTGCCCAGTAAACCAGACAAGTCCTCCCAAGATAAGACAATACACGTCTACCGAGAAAATTAATTTCAAGAATGCTATAAATAATTTATTAACAATCGGTGCTATTTCTCAATGTCAACCAATAGAAGGTCAATTCTTATCAAGTGTGTTCCTTGTGCCCAAGCCAAACGGTAAATTTCGTTTTGTTTTGAATTTAAAGAATCTAAATAAATTTATTAAAAATAATCACTTCAAGATGGAGGATTTACGCACAGTATTAAAATTAATATCAAAGGATTGTTTTATGTCTAAAATAGATTTAAAAGACGCATATTATTTTATTAAAATACATCAAAATTCAAGAAAGTATTTACGATTTCAATTTGAAGAATCCCTATACGAATTTAATGTTTTACCGTTTGGTTTGTGCACAGCACCTTACATATTTGTTAAAATAATGAAACCTATAGTACGCTTATTGCGTTGTGCTGGTTTAATATCAACCAATTATTTGGATGACTTCTGGTTAATGGGACAGACATATGAGATGTGTTTATATAATACAGTGCAAACTAGAAAATTATTAACGTCTCTTGGTTTTTTGATAAACGAAGAGAAGAGCTCTATGGTTCCGGCAAAAACATGTACATTTCTAGGATTTGTTTTAGATTCTGAGAATTTCCAAATCACGTTGCCTAGTGAAAAATCACATCGCATCATAGTAGAAATTCAAAAGTTTTTGAATCTCCGACGTTGTAAAATTCGAGAATTTGCTCGTTTAATTGGCCTTTTAGTCTCAGTTTGTCCTGCTGTAGAATACAGCTGGTTGTATACAAAAGCCTTTGAGCGTATTAAATATTTAAACTTAAAGTCAGACGACAATTATGACAAAATTATGTATTTACCTGAATCTTTACAACCTGATTTTGAATGGTGGTTAAATGCTTTAGAAAGACCATTTAGTAGAATTAGAGAAGACACACATGATTTGGAAATTTTCTCAGATGCCTCAAATACGGGGTGGGGAGCTGCGTGCGGAGAGGAGAAGGCTAGTGGGTTGTGGAGTGCTCACGAACGATCACAGCACATCAATTACCTTGAACTTCAAGCGGCATTTTTTGGCTTAAAAATATTCGCAAAAGATTTAAGTAATTGTCAAATCCTTCTTCGTATAGACAACACTACGGCCATCTCCTACATAAACCGAATGGGTGGCATTCAGTTTCCCCACCTCAACAGCATTGCTGCACGTTTATGGAAATGGTGTGAATGTCGTCGTATATTTGTAATGGCTTGTTATATAAGTTCAGCTGAGAATAAAGTAGCTGATGCTGAGTCCAGACGAATACACCCAGATATAGAATGGGAGCTGTCTGATTGGGCATTCAAGGAAATTGTTTCAAACTTTGGCTCACCACAAATTGATCTGTTCGCTAGTAGAATAAATAAAAAATGTTTATCATACATTTCTTGGAATAGAGATCCTGACGCATTGGCTATAAATGCTTTTTCAATTTCCTGGAATGCCTATTTCTTTTATGCATTCCCTCCATTTTCTGTCATCTTGAAAGCACTGAGAAAAATAATATCTGATAAAGCTAGAGGTGTAGTGGTTGTACCATTGTGGCCCACACAGCCGTGGTACCCTCTGTTTAAAAGCCTCTTGATATCTAACCTAATTGTGTTTAATGCAAGTAAAAACCCAATTACATCTTACCATTCTAGCAATCGCAACATTCACACCAAGATTACCCTGGTGGCAGGGATCTTGTGCGGACAGCGTGGTTAAGAAGATGTGTACCTCCCTCGGCGATTGAGGTTATGTTTGCCTCATTATCAGTTAATTCGTTTAAACAGTATGAGGTATATTTAAGACGATGGTTTAATTTTTGTAAAGACAATGATTATGATTTGTTTAACGCGTCAGTCCCACAAATTATTTATTTCCTTAATAAACTATTTGAAGAGGGATCTCAATATGGCTCTCTTAATTCCTGCAGGTCAGCCCTCTCATTATTAATGGGTAATAATATAGGTGAAGATGATCGGGTTAAGCGGTTTTTTAAAGGCGTATTTCGCTTACGGCCTCCTTTACCGAAGTACTCTATTACATGGGATACCTCTATAGTTCTGAACCATTTAAGTTTAATGTATCCAAATGAAACTTTAACCCTAGATCAAATCTCTAAAAAACTTGTTACTTTAATTGCTTTAATTACTGCACATAGGGTTCAGACCCTATCTAAAATTAATATAAAAAACATTGAAAATCAATCTTCGAACATGATAATTAAAATCCCAGATTTTTTAAAAACAACACGTAAAGGTTGTTTACAGCCAGTTTTAATGATACCATATTTTACAGAAAAACTTGAAATATGCCCAGGAAAGACTTTATCAGTTTATTTAGATAAAACGTTGCCTCTTCGTAAAAACGTTGACTCCCTCTTCATTAGTCTCAGGAAACCATATAAAGCCATTGGTCCCCAGACCTTAAGTCGGTGGATAAAGGAGACTTTAAGCGCTAGTGGGATTGACGTAAATATATTTACTGCACATAGTACTAGGCACGCGGCTACGTCCGCGGCCCGTAATATTGGTATCAGTCTTGATGAAATTAGAAGAACCGCTGGATGGAGCGGTTCCTCCAGTACATTCTATAGGTTCTATAATAGAACCATAAGTAATGTACATTCAAACGATTGTTTTGCCAGATCAATATTACAAGGTAATAATAGGAGTGGTATTTAGTTTTTTAAATCGTTTATTATATTCAGCTGATTGTTATTTTATTTTTATTTTTTTAATAAAAGTAAATATTTCACTAAAATCTCTAAAAATCTACAAGTGTTATTTGCTAATCCCGAGGACGAAGCCTGAGTATAATTACTGATTAAACGAACTTACCTGTACGTGAAGTTCTATCAGAATTATGCGAAGGCTTCGTCCGAAGGGATTAGCAACCCTCCCTCCCCGTTTTTATCTGAAGATAATTACCCGTATAAGTGAAATATTTTATCTTTCTAAACTATATGACTCAAACAGGCGAGGCGACCACCGGAATAATGTCAGGTATTTTTATTTTTTGTGTGAGAATCTACCCTCAAATACAGTGTGTGAGTGGCGATCTAATGGGCGATACTACAAGTGTTATTTGCTAATCCCTTCGGACGAAGCCTTCGCATAATTCTGATAGAACTTCACGTACAGGTAAGTTCGTTTAATCAGTAATTATCGGATGTACCGCGCGGAGTGAGCCAGGCCTGCTTATATCTTATCGGAGTCAGTCACATCTCATTGTTGCAAAAGTTGTAAAATCACACCTATTAGGCTGGGTTGCACCATCTTACTTTAACTGTGACAAACGTCAAAAATCTGTCAACCGGTTATCGTAATAGTTACCGTTAAAGTTAGGTGGTGCAACTTAGCATTAGAATTCCAAATTCCGTTGTCCAAAATCTCCGTTTACGGTTTCACCTACGTTTTGAGACAAAAACCTCATCCAATTTATGTCTAAGTTATGGCCTATGTTCAGCAGTGGACTTTATATGGCTGAGATGATGAGTACCTATACAAAAGTTCATCTCAACTTTTTTTTCATTTCATTGGTTTTCCGAATAAAATAAATAAAAAAAAACTGGTTCAGGCCTTTCTGTTTCTACGTAAAAATAACATAGAATAACTTTAATTTTCTGTAACATCTTGAATTTTACGCGGGCGGATCCGAAAAACTAGTCAATAATAATGTAGGTACTATACTACTTACTAACAATTGGTTAGAACTTAGAGAAACGTTTGCATTATATTATATTAAGCCAGAATACATAACAAAGTATGCTATTGTAGGCAAGCCCCAATTAACAATTTTGAAACGCTTATGCAAAGGAGCACTCGAAATTAGCATTTAAGTAGTTATGCATATTACAGAGTTTGGCGTGGTAATGTTTTGTAATAACATAAAACCGAATAGACTAGTAAAACTTCATGTGTAATCAAAAATTGAACAATAATTTCGGGACCAGCCTCATCATGAATTTATACCAAACGCACCAGTTAGCGAGTGAGTTTAAAAATATAAAACATATTTTGTGACAATTGACGTGTACTTGTTAACATTAATTACAAATTTACGTTCAATGGAGTATGAAATATACAAAAGTGTGACGAGTTTTGGCAAATTGACAATAGACTTCTATCTACAGATAATTATAGATATAATCATAACGCTCCGCGTACTACATGCGGTATTGTGACGCAATAATAAATATGTAATAACTAAGTATATCCTACCTCTAAACAGATTTATGTATATGAGGTCATATGCTTGACAAGCAAAGGCTTACCTTGTAATTATTACTAAAATCACCGGTGACACGAGGCAATTAAAACTCACTAGTTAGAGGTAATTATTGAATTCCTAAAGGTTTTGTCTCGAATTTAATTTGATATTGTATGTTAATATTGAGTGCGATTATCGTGTTTTGATAATTGTCTGAGAACTAGACAGAGGTTAATCAAATGACAAAATGATGGTCAATAATTTAATTTAACGTGTCACAACCGTGACTTGACTTATGATTTTGTGGAGCTGCTTCTTCTTTCTTTCTAAAATTTATTTATTTATTGATTAAATTATACAGGTGAATTTATGTTGAGTAAGTTATTATCAAAAAAGTTATAGGTATACCGTATATCTACTTACCTTTCAAAACTTTTAAAAAGGCAACTTACAGAGATTCATTATTGAATATAGTTTTTTTTATATTGTAGCGTAAAAATATATCAGTCAAACATAGCTGTCAATGAGTCATGTAACTCGTGTTGACATAGTTATTACAGATAAGAGTTCACAAATTGGTCAAATCGATTAGTCAAGTACCTAAAATCGTTATCTGAATCGAAATGCAGGTAAAAATCATCGCACATCGTTTGGAAAACCCGGTCGTAAGAACTTCGTCGAACCGCCTTGCGTATGCGAGCGTAGTAGACTTCATACGTGATTCCTTGGCACACCCACAGAGGTGACGAATGCGTTCGTCATAGGTCCATACCCTCAGTCGACATAAGAGGCGAAAGGACAGAATACTCGGGTAGATACTACGTAGTAAATAATGTTGATTTGGAGTTTGAAACATAATATATCACCGACAGTAATTTCTCCGTCTGACTGATGAACGACAGAACCTTTCGCTTTTGGGAATTCCGTTGAATTCCTTTTGTTTAAGAACGATTCATCGACAGAACTATTTGTTTCTGAATATTAAGGCTGAGTTGCACCACCAAACTTTGACGGTAACTATGACGATTACCGGTGCTTTTTGTATGGAGTTTAACAGATTTTTGACGTTTGTCAAAGTTAAATTAAGATGGTGCAGCAACTCAGCCTAAGACGACGGAATCTTTCGTCAAATAACGATTCGCTGATAGAACAATAAATATTTCCAATGTATTGTTGAATCGGCAGTGGATTGCCGATACCGTTGGGATATTATCGCCTTAGATATAAATAAGTTGCCTATTTAGAGACAAAAATGTATTTGGGTCATGATAATAAAAACACAACTAGGTATTCCAACTCACGATGCAAATCCTGTGTACATCCTACAGCTTGATAGATTGAAAATAGAAAAGAAATAGGTATCCGAAGCTAAAGATCGAGTCTCATCTATTGCTGATAAAGCAATCAACATTTGTCTCGTGACATTCAATATCAAATATTGATTGTCTTCCAGTGTATGTCTTGTTGGTTGTCCTATTAAATAAATAAAAATAAAAAATAAATCAGGAGCTACGGGAATCTCCTATTTTTTTTTCTCTTCTTCTGCCTCGCCTAATGCTTCAACCACACCATCGCGTACAGATCGCCATCGCCGGCGCGATCATAGCCCAATGACAGGTCGCGCGGACTGTCATGGGTCGCGTGGACTGTCATGGGTCGCGCGGACTGTTATTGGCCTATGATCGCGCCGGCGAATGCGAACTGCACTCGTTGGTGTGGTAGAAGCTTTAACCCTTTCAGGCTTTCCTAATCATGCGCCGCCATTTAATTCCATCTCAAACGTCTTGTTCGTGGAGTCCCAATACTTTCATGTCCTTTTGGACATTCGTCATCCAATTTCTTTTATGTTATGAGTAAGCCTACTGAAATTCTTTATTTGTTTGTGACCATCGTTTTAGAACTCTCTTGAATGAATTTGTGTATGGTCTTATTTGTTACGTGACGCCAATAAGGTATGCAATGTCAAACTTGTAATCAGAATAGAATTCTAAGAATAGAAATGAGAGAAACTCTAAAATCCGTTTGAATTAAGTAGAGTTTTATAATATTGGTTGATTTTTTAGTAGCGTAGAACTATAAAAATTGCAAAGAAAATTACGATAAAACTCAATTAAAAATTTTAACTCATTGTCCTTGTGTTTAAAATATTGAAAAACTGCAAACACTTGCCTTGTTCTGCATAAAAAAGAAACTGCCATGTAAACTCACTGTTTAGGTACAATCAAATTTGTGGTTTAGGTTTTATTACATATCTCATTAACCCTGTAAGTACCTTTAATAGTAGTTACTCTAAACATACGCCGAGGATTATAACCTACTTATGTCTAAGATTAGAAACATAGTAAATAAGTAGGTACTCGTATCTGACGACACTACTTATCTCAGGTATTCAGGTTATTCATAATGAACGAGTACAAATGTATGTACTTTTGACCTCAATAAGTACGACGTAGCAGCGACAAATCACAGATAATTAATGTCCTTTTGTAAATTAATAAAGTAATACTTACATATACGACGGAAACAAGTTTGTCTTTTCAGTTGTTAAATAAATGAAAAAAAAGTATTTTTACAGTCAGCGTTAAAAAAGTGACATCCAAGTTAGCCAATAACTAGGTACGCAACATGTCTTTGTTACAATTGGTACAGTTGTGGTACATATTTTTGACCGCTTTGGGTGTCACGAAACATATGAAACACTCACTTCGCAAGGAAAGGAAAAAATTGAAGCACAAATTAAGGGCGGCTTTCACCATAGAAGAGAGTTAAATTTAAACCGAGTTTAGCTATAATTTATTTGACATTTAAGGGGTGGTTTCGCTATTCTTAGATTCTATGTTTTTTCCTTTTGTCTGCAGTTCTGTTAC